CCCCAAAACCCCAAAACCCCAAAACCCCAAAACCCCGACCTATTTCAACCATATTGAAAATATAACCAGATATCATATCTCTATTTAACAAATGGGCTATCAGGGATTTCATTGTGAGCTTTATAAATGCTCTTTAAATCTCTCTTATCTTCATCGCTCATGTTTTTTCTTCTGCTAACAAGCTCATCATGAACTTGTGAGTAGAAGATAGAAAACTCAGTAAACTGGAGTCAATAGAAGGAAGTTCTAGCAGTGTTGATCAAATAAGAAGTTGGAATTGACTTCAAATGATGTGTAATTACACTCACAATATTCCTGATGAAATTCACGTTTTTAACTTCCAAAGAAGCTACCCCAACAAGAATATTAGTGGCTTCATATCCATGTAGATCACTAAATGAGAAGTCATGCTGATTATCCATCACATCCATTAGAGCATTAGTAAGATCTGAAATAGTATCATTTCCTTTTTCTTTAAAAGTAGCAATTGTAAGCCATTGGTTTTCATACAGAATAGAATCAAAGATATTCCCTTGTGTTCTGTACACACTTAATAAATGTGGAGCTATGTCCTTGAAATATTTATTATTCTGAGAACCGATCCTTGCATACGCCTGCGCTAGCATACAAGTATTATATCCATCAATTCTATCTAGTTTAGCCATGATTCACTCATGAATAGAGTCAAGTAATTTCTCACTTGGCTTTCCTAGTTCAACAATGGGGACCAAAATATTGATCAATTCGTTCTCATGTGCATCATCAAAGAACTTGGGTCTCTCTAACTGAGTCATGATCGTGTCTACTACTTCCTGGTCATGAGGGTTACCTCTACTATAAAAGTGTTCACAAATGAGGATTGGCTTATATCAATAATTGCCATTATAAGCCTAAGTCGTTCTCTGATTGGAAGCACAAGTTTATAGCTACTCTGAATAATCAATAGCAAACTCAGAACATGTTCTGAAATTTTATTGAGGTAAGAGAAACCTGTGAAAATTAAATGAAAATAAGATAGCTTGTAAAGGAGACATACTTGATGCCAGATTTTAAGAATGATTATACTTTTTACATGATAAAGAGTAGAAAGAAAATATGATTACAGCTTGCTGCTTTATGGCCTTTTATTTTTATACTGATAGAAATATGGCATAAGTTTAGATAAGAAACTTCTTTTTCAAGTATTGACAAGTTTTACCAAGAATGCTAAGATTCTCCTGTCAATAAGCTCAATTTTTTTTAATACTTGCTCGATCTTAATGAAATCTTTGGAACTAAAGTAGAAGTCGATTTTATTGAAATAAAAACGTTGGCAGTTAAATTCTCCGTTGTCATTAGTAAATTCTTTAGAGCATAATAGTCTTGTACAATCACTATAAAAGTAAAATATACTATTTTTTAATTAAATACATTTTAAAGTCAATGTTTTCCCTAAAAGTGCATCATCATTCTTTAGTTTCCTTAATTCAGTGAGTCGACTTACTCAGTTCAATTCTTCTGCTGAATGAATCCAAATGGATTTATTCAGCTCTAAAGCTATTTTCACTTCGAAAAAAGTCAATAATATCATGATAAAAATTTTAAAATTTATGCACCAGTCATTAAGGTTATTAAAACGTATTTGAAATTAGCAGTAGAAAAGAACCAACCTGTTAGTTTTTACAATAGCTGTCAAAAGAGTAGCAGCATGGGCTGGTTCCATCATCTCGACACCTTCGATTATATAAGTCTCTACTCAATCTTTTACTGCTTTTTGGACATCACCATCAATCTCATGAGGATGGAAGAATGTTGAAAGGGAGAATACCAGGGTTGGAATAGTTGGGATCAGCTCCTTGGGTGTTTCTCTACCTAGAATTTCATTCAATACTTTCTTCTTCATTTCAAGCTCTATTCCAAGTCCTTTCAAATTTACTAGAAAGCCAAGACATGAGATAGTTGTGGCGCAGTATTCATAGCTGACGTTTTCGAAATGTGCGAACATCACGTTAAGGAGGATATTGAGTCTAGTATCTCCTGTAACTTCACCCATATGTCTGACGATAAAATGGAGCATCAAGATTAGTTCCTCAACATAGATCTGATTTTTCTGCGCTTTTATGTAATCTGTTTGAAAAATGTTCAACACCTCTTGAGAGCTTTTGGTCTGGGCCAATTTCAAGCTAATTTTATTAATAGCTTCTTTTCTATCTTCCTCTAATAATTATCCAAGTGGGTTTACCTTCCTCTGGGTTTTTACCAAAGATGCCAAAGCCGTCTTTGTTCTCTTCAGAACTTGAAAACTGTCTGTGTGAAACCTGGCTCTAAGAATAAGAATATGTCTTACAAAAAGAGTAAGTGGCTTAGATTTCCCGATTCCACCTATAGAAATACTCCTCATGGGCTTCTGATAACCCGCTAACGCAGTTGTGGCCTTAAAAGAGCTCACAAAAGGTCTCTTATGTCCCTGTGGTAACCCAGCCACAGACTTTGCTGCTGTATATCACCTTGATATTCTTCTGATCGAGTACATGTTGATTAATGGATATAAATAATTATTTAAAACCAAGATTTTCTAAGTTATGTGGGGTTTTGGGGTTTTGGGGTTTTGGGG